ATAAAACAGACGACCTTCTTCTGCTCTCCCGGACAAATAAGAATTTTTCAAACTCTGCTGCTCTGTGTTTCACGGAAACCTGGCTGAAAGACGCCATTCCGGACAGCGCGTTGAGTCTCCTGGGCTTTCAGCTGTTCAGAGCAGATTGCGACGCAGAATCAACAGGAAAATCACGCGGCAGCGGGACATGCTTTTACATCAATGAGAGTGTTAAAGAAGATGTGCTGTTCAGATCTAGAAGTGCTCTTCATTAACTGTAAGCCGTTCTACTCGCCGCGGGAGTTGGAAGACTACAGAGGGTAGTCCGTACTGCTGAGCGAATCATTGGTTCAACCCTCCCTTCTCTTCAAGAACTGTACTCATCCAGAGTGAGCAAAAGGGCTGGCAGAATCACTCTGGACCCCTCACATCCAGCACACTCCCTCTTTGAACTGTTGCCATCTGGTCGACGCTACAGAGCACTGAGCACCAGAACGGCCAGACACAGGAACAGTTTCTTCCCTCAGGCCATCCATCTCATGAACACTTAACAATAACTGTGGAACACACACTATTTATTCACTCATGCACTTATGTATCTAACACACATACTCAGTCTACAATTCAATTTGCACATAATATACCTGTACATACAACTGTCTATTGTTATATACCTGTACATACAATTGTCGATTTGTATATTTTTATTCCTTATTTACTTGTTCTATTTTTTATTTATTTTTATTTTTTATTATCTGTGTTTTTTGTTCTGTCACGGTCATTCTGTTACACTGTGGAAGCTTCTGTCACGAAAACAAATTCCTCGTATGTGTAAACATAGCTGGCAATAAAGCTCATTCTGATTCTGATTCTGATAATTATTATGACAGTAACAGTAACAAATGGCTCAAAACTCAAAAGTCCTAGAAACAACAAATTTGGCAGGATGGTCCCAAATCTCCCCCACTACTCAGGTGCACACACACACCCAGACCAGACCATAGGTGGCGTGATAATAAGTACTTTTACATTTTTGCTCATATCTCCACAACCACACAAGCTAAAATCAAACCTTAGTATTTCTATTTATTTCTGTGTCTGAATATAGAATGATCTGTTAAACATTATAATGTAACAATGATGTTTTACCTGCAGGATCTTGCTTTTCTCTTGCTCTAATGGCAGATCATCACATTAGATTCCCACTCACTTTAGGTTTGACTTTAGCAGATATCATATCTTTATTGAAGTCATTAGTATCAGTTTGCAGTTTGTCTCTATAATGAATGAATGAATGTTTAGGTCTAGAATTCTAATTCTTGTTCATATGGTTTCCTTCTGTGTTTGCGTGTTAAACCTTCTCTCATTTCTCTTTTGCTCTTTCGCTTCCTGTTGTTCATTTGATTGCTTACATTTCCCTTCTCTATTCTTGTTGCGTTCAGCCAGTCACACACTGAAATGTTTTGGTCAGGTTGAGTTGTTTATTTAAAGTACAGTATGGGTTCTAGAACATGATGCGTAGCCTTTGGTTTTATTTTCACACTTTTGTCTCAGTAAAACCACAGTTAGGTCTGTTCTGAGCGGGTGTGAAAACGTCACTGATCACACGTGGTTACAGTTGCAAATCAGTGTGGCCTTAAACCTTGTTTGTCAGTGTTCGTGGAGGTGTTACTCTGTCACTCTCGGGTTGAAATCAAAATAAGAATCAAGCAAAACAAACAGCAAACAAAGCAATGGCCTCCAGTGGATTATTGCTATTATAAAACCCCTGCACCCAGGACAGGCACGACAGAGCCCTGATCAAAAGACAATAATGGAGAGTAACAAAATAAAATGGGACAAATTAGCAAAGTTGGCATGTGATCTCAGTTCTATATATAATTTTTGGTTATTTTATTTATTTATTTATGTTTTACAAAAGCACAATGTTTTGTTGATGATGTTTTTTTTTCTGCGACTAACCGACTATTAAAATTTTGGTCAACCAAGCTTTTCATACATGTGTATGATAGGCTCAAGCCCCTGCCCCTTTTCCCAGATTAACCTCCTGGGGTCGACGGTGGCGCCGGCCACTTGCAGATTTTAATGATAACAGCAAAAATAACTTAAAATGCTCCTTCATACTTGATCGTACATATAAGAGTAATACAGCATTTAAATCTATAAAGTCTCATTCTCCGCACATATCTGTTTGAAACGCGTCACTAAAATGAACTGAAACTCAGCGAATATTTGACACACACACATGAGAGATATATCTATAGAAAGCTTGACATGTCTACTTTTAAACGAAGTAAGTCATGTCGAAAACAAATAGTGGCTGTTCTGTAGGCAAGCACCAATGTCTTGAACTTGATGAGAGCCGCGATTGGAAGCCAGTGCAGAGAGATGAGAAGCGGTGTGACATGGGAAAGGAGCAAAGAAATATTTAAAAAAGTTTATACACAGTTTGAGCAGCAAGATGTGTTCAGTTTTAACTCTTTCTTCCATTTTGTATCTTTGGGTTAGCATAAGAGGCACTTCATCCGGTACTCAGTCTCTTTCATTCCATAGCCGACATGTCCAAAATGCCGCTGCAAGATTAATCTGTAATGAGCCGAAAAGAACGCATGTCACACGTTCATCAATTTGCACTGGCTACCAGTAGCTGCTCGCATTAAATTCAAGGCATTAATGTTTGCCTACAAAACCACCACTGGCTCTGCACCCATAATTCATTACTTCAGAGTTATGTGCCTTCTAGAAGCTTGTGTTCTGCAAGTGAACGGCGTATTATTGTGCCATCTCAAAGAGGCACAGGCTGTTATGATGGTTGATCATTAAAAAAACACATGTATTTATCTTAAGGCCTATATATGTTTTAATACTATGACTCACAAATAGATTAGCCTCAGATTATATATTACCAGTCAAACAACCTATTAACAAAAACGAAAGTATGTGAATTACTGTATTTACCCCGTTGAACTATAAAAACTTCTTATTCCAGTCTAAGCTGGTTTACTGATCTTAGCTGGTCTCTCACTCTGTCCAGGCTGGTTTTAGAGGTTATTGAAGTAGTTTCCTTGTATGCTTGACACTTGTACGCTGCATTTGCATTCACTATTTGAGGTGTTTTTTATTTAGAATGTTTTTTTTTTAATTTACATTTGTTTTCAACACTAATTTTAAACATTGAAATTTAGATTCAGTCATGTATGTCTACAATTCAGTGATTGTGTTTGAGCAAAACTCAAAATCTAAAAAATCTAAAAAAGATTCTCTGAAGAAGATGACGTCTGCTTTAGAAATGCCTCGGCATTTCAGCAGCCGTTGAGCAATATTGGAAGGATATGTTGTTCTTGTGAGCTTTGAGTTTGTATAATAGACTAATAGATTTGTGTAATAGACTAACTTTTTTTTCCTACAGTTCCTTCTCCAACAAACGTCAGTGTTGTTTGTCACAACTTTGCGAATGTCCTCTACTGGAACTACAGTAACCCATCCGAACAGCTGAAATTCAGTGTAAGGGTTGAAGCTTATGAAAGGTATGTGTGTGTCAAAAGCAGCTGATCAAAAAATACTATTTAAAAAAATGTGACATTTCTTAATCGCAATCTCATTCCTTAATCTTTCTGTCCCATTTATCTCTAGTGATTCCCAAACAGTTGACACGACTCAGACGTACCTTGATATCAGCAGCTACAGCAGAGATGTTAGTGATGATTACTTGGTGTACGTGACGGCGCATGATGGGCAAGAGAAGTCAGAAAGCGTCTCCATTAGATTCACCTACAGCAAAGACTTTTTTGATGAGAAAAAACATAAATGTAAGTTATCTGTGTATAACCTAATCATATGGAAACAGTATTACTGTTTATTACAGTGTTTGCAAGGCCCTGTTGATGATGAAACACTATTGATGTTTCTCAGACATTTTAAGGCTCGTTTTCTAAGAATAAAACATCTGCAGTTTTTTCAGCCCAAACCGTTGGTGTATTTGGTCAATCTTGCATTGAGTTGCGTTAAAACAGTGTTCAGCAGATAGTGTTGATGTCATTAATTTTTGCTTAATTTGTCCTTTCTCTACTGCATCTATTTAACAATACAGCTGCCTTGTAGTGAGAAAAGCACTGCATCACATGTTCGTTCTTATACGGCAGCATTTAATTTACCAATAACCAGAGCCTAAAAGAAAATGAAACTTCCTTAAAGCTTTAACTCTCATTCTGCTGCCTTGCAAGCACTGCTGCTGTTTCTTTCCGGAAATGCAAATCTATTTGGATATTGTTTTAGTGTTGGAATTTATTTGCTTTAGTCTTTTACAAGATTACTTGTTTCTTTTTTTATTGTTATTTTGAATTTCTTTAAACAATATTGTTTTTGTTTTTTTCCAGGCTCTTTGGACTTTCCCGCTGTAAATACGTCTGTCCACAAAGACGTGATTGAAGTGTCCTTTCAGCACCCTTTCTTTCTTCATGAGCTAAACATTCTGAACGAAGAATTTATGTACACAGTCACACATGATGAGGTTGGAAAAGCAGTCGCACAGACTCCCCCATGTCCTTCTTTAAATGTTAGTCATGTTAGGATGTTGAATTGTTAAAATCACTCTGTTCTTTTCTCCTTCCACAGCAAAAGGTTTTATACTCTTGTTTTGTGGAGGAGGAGCTGTGCACTGGAGAAATCCACCTGAACCAAAGCACAGCTGGACAGTGTGTTGAGCTGAAGTTTGAAGGGAAGATTGCTGGTATTCCTTCATATACCTACAGAAATGTTTGTGTCCCTCAGCAGATGCCCGAGACCGGTAAAAGCATTATCCGTTTAATGTTGTTCATTTTTATAGATGCAGTGCAGCTTTATTGTCATGATATTAAGTGCAGGCAGTGTGTAAGAATCAGTATTTATTTCTTTAATGCTAAACAAATGAGTCCATTTGAGAGCTCTGACATGAGCTGTGTTTGAAATCACCGCCATTCCCTCACTGACTATTCCGCATACACTCAATGTCATATAGTCCACTAAACGAAAAAGGGGTGAACAAAAATGAGAACATATTTATTGTTGTTATGTAATATATACTACTACTACTACTAATAATAATAATTTTTATTTATATAGCACCTTTCCAAAACCCAAGGTCACTTTACAAGTCAGGTTTAAGGAACAGAAACAAATAAACATCAATACCTGAAGACAGAATACAAACCAAGAGCTGAGAATAATATACAGAGACCACTTACAAAGTTAGATTAAAGATACAGAGAGAATGTAGATAAACATGCATAACAGGGTACAAATTACAGACTGAGAACTGAAGAGTAATACTCAGAGAAAAAATTTGTTTTTAAGAGGTTTTTGAAGGAGAGAAGGGAGAATTCTTGACGGATGTTTTTTGGGAAGAGCATTCCACAATCTGGGAGCCACAACACTGAAAGCCCTAGCTCCTAGCTCACCAGACGAAACTTAGGGGTGACTAACAATCCCTCACTAGAGGATCGTAAGAAGGAACATAAGGCAGGATTAAGTCAGATAAATATGTAGGACCAAGGTTATGGAGAGCTTTATAAGTGAGAATTAGTATCTTGTAGTTTATGCGCAAAGAAACCGGAAGCCAATGAAGGTGATTGGGGTATTGTGATCGCTCTTTCTTGTGTGGGTAATCAAGCGAGCTGCAGAGTTTTGAACATATTGTAGTCGTTTGATATTATTAGCTGACAGGCCATAAAGAAGTGAATTACAGTAATCTAGTTGAGATGTGACGAAGGCATGTGTAACAGTTTCAGCATCCTGCTGACTGAGAGAGGATCGAGTACGAGATATTTTACGTAAGTGGAAAAAAGCTGTCTTTACTACTTTACCAATGTGATCACTAAATGAAAGAGTGGAATCAATGAGAACACCAAGATTGCGTACTTTAGTGGAGGGCATAATCAGATCACCATCCAGATCCATCAGTTGACCAGAGAGCTTAGATACTACAGCTTTAGAGCCAATCAAAATTACCTCAGTTTTATCAGAGTTAAATTTAAGGTAATTTGCCTCCAGCCAAAGCTTGAGTTCCTTGATGCAATTAGTTAATGCAGGTGGAGGTGGAAGGTGCGCTAAAATAAAATTGAATGTCGTCTGCGTAACAGTGGAAGTTAACTCAGTTTTATCAGAGTTAAATTTAAGGTAATTTGCCTCCAGCCAAAGCTTGAGTTCCTTGATGCAATTTGTTAATGCAGGTGGAGGAAACACTGTGGTGGAAGGTGCGCTAAAATAAATTTGAACGTCATCTGCATAACAGTGGAAGTTAAACCCATAGCGTTTGATTATTTGTCCAATTGGTAGCATATAAATGGTGAAGAGGAGAGGGCCCAAAACAGAACCTTGAGGTACATCAGAACTGATGGATTTTGTAGATGATTTCTGTTTCTGGTTTATAACAAATTGTTGCCTCTCGGTCAAATAGGAGGAAACCCATTTGTTAATGCAGGCGGAGGAAACACTGAGGTGGAAGGTGTGTTAAAATAAATTTGAATATCATCTGCATAACAGTGGAAGTTAAACCCATAGCGTTTGATTATTTGTCCAATTGGTAGCATATAAATGGTAAAGAGGAGAGGGCCCAAAACAGAACCTTGAGGTACACCAGAACTGATGGATTTGGTAGATGATTTGTGTTTCTGGTATATAACAAATTGTTACCTCCCGGTCAAATAGGAGGAAAACCATTCAAGGGCTGTGCCAGTACTTCCAATTGCTGAAAGCCGTGAGAGGAGTATCTCATGATAAACAGTGTCAGAAGCTGAGCTGAGGTCTAAGAGAAGGAGAGTGCTGAGAGCACCAGAATCAGAAGCTAAGAGAAGATTGTTAAGAACCTTAACCAGGGCTGTTTCAGTACTGTGTAATGGACAAAAGCCAGACTGGAAGGGCTCGTAGAAGTTGTGTGCTGTTAAGAAGGCCTGTAACTGGGAGGCAACAACTTTTTCTAATATCTTAGAGAGAAAAGATAAGTTCAAAATAGGCCTATAGCTACTTAGGGAAGAAGGTTAGAGACCATGCTTTTTAAGAACTGGAGTGACAGCAGCAATCTTAAGCTTTGATGGTACAGTTCCAGATGACATTGACATATTAATGAAGTGAGTGATGGGTAGTGACAAAGCAGGCAAGCAATTCTTCAGTAAAGAGGTAGGTGCAGGATCAAGAAGACTAGTAGAGGAATTAGACAGCCTGATTATCTCATCAACCACTGTGGGGACAATAGAGTCAAAACTAGAGAAGTTATGAGCATGGCATAATGAGAAGTTCAGTAGTGGGAACAGAGGTAGAGTGTTGACAGGTATGAGATGTTTTACTCTGAAAAAAGTTCAGGAAAGCATCACACATTTGATCAGAGCACTCTAGAGGCTGAGTTAACTATTTAATCGTAGTAAATAATGTTCTAGGCCTGTTTTTGGACTTATTAATGAAAGTAGAGAAATAAGATGATCGAGCTGCATTAAGAGCATTCCTGTACTGCTTAATGTGTTCAGTATATACCAAAGAGTGAACAATAAGGCCAGTTTTCTCAACCAATCAACCAACTTCCATGCACGATAATCAATCAAGGATTTAACAACAGGTTTTGGAATGTAAAAATTCGAAAGCATCACACATTTGATCAGAGCACTCTAGAGGCTGAGTTAACTATTTAATCATAGTAAATAATGTTCTAGGCCTGTTTTTGGACTTATTAATGAAAGTAGAGAAATAAGATGATCGAGCTGCATTAAGAGCATTCCTGTACTGCTTAATGTGTTCAGTATATACCAAGGAGTGAACAATAAGGCCAGTTTTCTTATAAAGCCTTTCCAGCCGGCGGCCCTTGGTTTTCATTGCCCTGAGCTCAGTGTTAAACCAAGGAGAAGTGTGCAAGGAAGGGACCTGTCTAGATTTTAAGGGAGCAGAATTATTAAAAATAGTAGAAATACTTTCATCATAGACATTAATAATGTCTTCAGCACTGGAAAGACTGCAGCAGTCAGAGAGGGGGGAATCACTGGCTGCGTTTACACTGGCAAAAAAAATCGGATTTTTTGCCCACATCTGACACAGATCGGAATTTGATGCATGCGTGTAAACACAAAAATCCACACGAGACCCGATTTTTTCACATCCGATCTGAGCCACTTCAAAATGTGGATTTTAATTGGATACATATCCAATATCTGGACATCCGACCTGCGTGTAAACACACATATCCGATTCCCCGCAGAACTCCCAATGCGAGGGCGACACATTTGCCCATAAAGATAGCGTTTTAATGCCAGTGAGCTGTATGCGCTCACATTTTATAGAGATGGAGACTTTAAAAAAAATGTTAGGCATATTCAGGAGCTGGTTTTCAACCCCTGTCCCGTGAATTGTATTAATACAACAGCTTCGCTACTAAAAGCTACATTATTTTTCTTAGCAATGAGGTGATAACTTTCACTTGTTTGCAAGCTTCACACTCACTCTCTCTCTCTCTCTCTCTCTCTCTCTCTCTCTCGTTAATTAATTCGAATTCATTTAAATAAATATCGTCTTGGCATTACTTTATTTCACTAAAGAATTCTACCTCTAACAAGCTGTATAAAATAGCATACCAAATGAAAATTACCGTCATTTTCCGTTATTTATCCGTTCAGTCAGATTTTGAGCTGCAAAACATCCATGACAGCCGTTGTCCATGCTGGCAAATAATAGCCTAATGGCCACTCAACGTGAATTATATAAATAATTTAATAGCACGGCCATTCAAAACCCAAGGGTCTACCATGTGCCTATAAAGCGATCACTCACAATCATTTTGGGTGGGAATTATGTAAACACAGATATCGGATACCAGTCGTGTCTAAATTGAATGTAAACAGACGGGCCAAAAAATCGGATATGGTCAAAAGATTGGATCTGTGCATTAAGACATGCAGTGTAAACGCAGCCACTGAGTGCAGCAGAAAATGACAGAGGATCAACCAACTTCCATGCACGATAATCAATCAAGGATTTAACAACAGGTTTTGGAATGTAAAAATTGCAAGAAAATTCAATCAGTTTATGATCAGAGATACCTATGTCAGAGCCTTTTAAGGCATTAATGTCGATGCCAGTAGAGCAAACTAAATCCAGTGTATGGCCATGTACATGAGTTGAAAAATCAATATGTTGCTGCAGATTAAAACAATCAAGGACAGACATGAACTCAAGAGCATGAACAGTATCAGTATCAACATGAATATTGAAATCCCCTAGCAATAGCATAGCTGTAGATTGGGCAGAAGCAATTGTCAACAATTCACACAAGTCTGACAGAAATTGCATGTTTGTTTTAGGAGGACGATACACCAGTATTATGAGCAGTGAAGAGTGGCTAGTGAGGCTAGTGATCAAATATTCAAATGATGTCACCTCATGGAAAGGAGACTTTGGAGACTCAATATGAAGACTATGAAGACTTACCACCGCCAGGCCCCCACCCCTGCCTCCAATTCGGGGCTTAGTCAGAGTACTGAAACCAGGAGGAGAAAGCAGATTTAAGTTCAACAAAGTCATTAGATGCTTGCCAGGTTTCTGTGAGCATCAGCATTTCACAGTTATTGTCAGAGATTCCAAAGTCCCGAAGAAACGTTCCTTTCCCAGTTAAAGACAGAGTGTTGAGTAGGGCAAAATTACCACATCGCTGCACATTCTTATTAAACACAGAGTCATCTCTGGTCTTTTCTAGTGGCCTTAGCGACGATAAACAAACTCTGTGATTTATATACATAGAGGACGACTTCCATGTGCTTGATCTATGAGACCAGATGGAGGGGATAGAAGCAGGCGAAGAGCAGTTAAAGTTCAGGAGTCGTTTTGGTGAGCGATAAATATAGCCGGGCCGACGAGCAATTCCAATAGTTTTACACAGTCTTTATGTGGCGGGATCCAGCCGGGAAAAAC